GACACTCTAGCGATGTTAGCACTAAGGATCCATAGATTAAGTAACAGTAAGAAGTTTGTATACTTAGCTGAAAATAAATATGTTCCAAAGCAAGTATGGATTTCAATACCTAAGCGTCAATATAGCAAGTAGCAGAAACTTGGAGAAAGAAGTGCAAGCACAGACAATAAAAGTTTCGCTGATATCGGGCTATCTGGGTGATATAATATAGCGAAACACGGACATGTCTGTCGAGAGCAACACAAGAATATACAAAACCTGTGTCAGACCAATCATGACTGAGACCAATCAGACCAATCATGACATACGCTATCGAAACCAGAGCAGAGAACGACACAACGAAGCCACTCCTCAGAACAGCAGTGATAAAAACTTTGAGAGCCATAACAGGCTGTAGTTTACGGGACCGCATTAGAAGCCATAAAATTAGAACATAGTGCGACATTCAAGATGTGGTGAGATAAGGCCGCAATAGAAGCAGACGTTGTTAACAAGATGGACATTACGAGGCTACCAAAAATCGCGAAAGAGGGACCCCGGCTGTCGAAAAGTCTTCCTGGAATACCCCCGAAACGATGGCACGACCGCTGAAGCTCGGCCTGTCAACTACAGTTGTAATTGTTGAGGACAAACAAAATTCAATCCTACAATAAAGAAGAAGACGAAGGAGCAGAAAAACATTAATACTGATAAATCGGGATTTCGACCGTTAATTTCAGGTTATGTCAGAAAATGTTAAATGCGAAAATGTTAGATTGTTTGATTATCTACTATCTAACGTGTTTTTGTCTTTAAATTTTATTTCTTCTTAAAGTTGGAACCTTAACAACATTTTTCACCTGGTCCTTGCCTGTTATTAATTTTTCCAAGTTATATCAAATTCGTTTCGGCACTAGCGCATTACTGGCATTCTGCCTAGTTACTTACACAATGCTCTATCTTTTCCTCCAAGTAATCAATCAGATGTTTGGAAGCTAGACAATGCCAGTCTTCGTTAAATACATATTTCCATTTCCTCCAAATAAACTCGTATAAGTCGCTAAAGTCTCCCAGAAATTCGCCATCTTTAAAGATTGCCACCTTGTTCTTAATCAGCCATAATCCATTTCCTAATCGTCGCTGATACTAAAGGAACAAAAATTGAGTAAATGAACCATATCTACATTTGAAGAATCCTAATAAATATGTGGCAGACTATAAGTAGATATTTATATTGGTTTAATAATTATAAAACGTTTTTATGCTCAGATGAGCCCTTTAGGTAGAAACTAGACTTAATATTTAAATGCCTGAGCAATATTAACGGACAAGTCAGCACACTTATATTTAAATCTTAGCGCTTACTTTAACTATGAACTCATTCCATTCAACGTCCAGCAATGGCCTGATTTCAGGACTGGCAAATTCCTGAGGAAAACTTCGATACAATTTAAAAATAGCATATTTGGATTTTTGAAAGTCTTCGCTTGTTATCAATCCGACAATATAGAACAAATGTTGTTTCTTAGTAACTTCGGAGTTTTCCGCATTTTCCATCTTCGCAAATTTTACTGAATTTAGCCCTATTCAGTGATATAACAGACTTGCCAAAAAAAGTGAGCTATAATGATGTCACCATGCTGAATATGACACTTATGTAGGAAGCCAGAAACAGGATTAAAAGAAATAAATTATCGAATTAATATATTTAAACATTATATGAACAGGTTCGGTGTTCATCTAATTCTTAAAACTCATGTTCTTATAATTGTTACAATATTATGTAACCTCCTATTCACTATGCTTTATTCAAAAAGTGCAGTGTTGGCACAACGCACCAGCGCTGCTCCCCGGTGCAATAATAAATGTGGTGCCTAGGTTGAAAATTAAATAAATTGTTTTAAGGAAAGTCCTTTTCAACAAGGAATGTGATTCAAATTAAGTAATACATAATTCCTCAAAGAGCAATTTAATTATTATTCCACTGCCTGCAATTCTCTCTCTCTCTTGTAGCTCCTACAACCCAGGATGGGTCTTGGCTGACTTCCAACAATTCCCCTGCATAGAATTCCATCTTTTTTCCGTGATATTCGCAGTTCTAAGATCTGATGTTATGTTGTCGGTGTACCGTAGCCGTGGTCTTCCTAATGATCCCCTATTGGTCTGGGCCTACTACCATACTAATTTGACAACTCTGCTATCTTTCTATCTTTTGACATGGCCCGTCACCCAAAGGTAACTAAACAAACATAAGCATAGTATGAGGCAGGTTTGGAAAAAATAAAACAGGCTACAAATACGTCAACAACCAAACAAAATTTGAAATTAATTAATAATATAGGTGATTTTCTAACTGACGATAACAAAATTTGAAACAAATTTAATGCTTATGTTATCAATATTGGTCAAATGGTGAAGAAGAAGATGAACATTTACATCTACTGTTCGTAAGAGAAATTCGTGTTCAAACTCCTTAATGTTTCTAACTCCAACTGATGACAATACTCTCAAGATAAAACTTTCTAGAATCAACTAGCTCACCGGATCCTGATAATATTACAAATAAAATTATGAAGTAGTAGTAGTAGTAGTATTGTGTACCCGATGGGTCCGGCTAGTATGCATTAAAGGCCGTTTTCGCCACTCTTTCTCCATCCATTCCCATCTTACCACTCCTGATCACGGCAAAGGCCCGTTTCCACTTCAAGGAAGACAATTTGATTCTGGAGAGTGTGGAGGCCCCATGGAGGCGCCTCCTAGTAGACGAATAGTGATGGCAAATTCCTAATAGGTAGTATGATGTTTTCACATTGTGGACACACAGGACTATCACCAATTCCTATTAGATGTAGATGTCTATTAAAACCACAGTGGCCTATCATGACTTCAACCAGTTCCCGGGGCCCATCGACTCCTTGACATCGACCATTTGGATGTTGCCTTGGCGTCACTTGGTATTCCAATCACCCCTCCACCTGTCTCCCCATCTCTGTAGCGCCTCTAAGAGCCCAGTCACTTAGAGCTCTTGCCGTAGACACGTATGTCGGTTACTTAATCCCATGTGAGGTTTGACGATTATTGGTCTCTCAGGAGATCCAATATTTGCCAAAACATCGGCCTCGTCTCCCGCAAACCCCACGTGCGCCTGGATATACACCAGGTTAACTTGTTTCTGTTCTGCCACTTTGTTCAGAGCATCCCATCAATCCTGGATTAATGTACTGTCTATCTTAGTACCCGAGAGTGCCTTGAGGGCAGCCTGGCTTTCGCAGTAGATCTCGATCACTTAAAAACTTTCGTCCAGCTTCCCAGCGAAAAAGACGCTCCACTGTTGGGGTCTTGCCTTCCCGTACCAACATTGTACCTCCTGTCGGGCGGGCACTGTCCTAGCATTTCAACATCCTTTTGTTGAGGTTTCCACCTTAAATATTCTTTCAGACCTAAGACCGCTGTCAGGTGAGGCCACTTTCGCACATAGGATTGGAAGATCCCGACTTATGACAGTCCTTATTTTTGTATGTCCCTAACGTGAGACATTGTTGTCATGTCTTGGAGAGCTACATTCTATCCTCTGTCGCGCCGCAGCGGCCTCCCTACGTATGCTCGGTGTCGTCCTCATTGCACCGGTCATCGCTAAGCAGGCCAGTGTTTGCAGATCCGCCAGTTTCCTGGATATCCACTCTTTTTCCACGGCCGGCCACCAGACCACAGCACCATAACAGATTCGCGGTCTTATTATAACAGCAGTGTACAACCAATTCAGAACGTGCGGTTTTAGGTCCCAGTTTTTTTCCAGCGCCCGTTGCAGGTGCCACATATTGACAGCAGCTCTTTCCTTGTAATCTAACAAAAAATAAGTTTATAAATCTTGCTATGAATAAGCTTGGCTTAGAAAGAGTGCCAAAAGTGAGTCAAAAAATTACAATCCCATATTCAATTATAAACGTAAGTAGCACTTATGGAAAAGTGTATAGCCACCAATGCGGATTCAGGAAAAGCAGGTCTACCACTGATGCCATGCAACAGGTGCTGAAGATATTGAATAGCATCAAATCAAAGGCTCCAAATAACCGAAAACTCTGCGTAATGATCACGCTAGGTATTAGTAATGCTTTGATTAGGCTAGCGTTCAAAGACATGGGAGTCCCATTATATCTCCGCCGAATAATATCGGACTATCCCTCGCAAGAATCTGTACTTGTTGGACGGGACACGAGGTATGCAAATGTAATGTGGAGTGCCGAAAGGCGCTACTTGGGGACTTCTCCTGTGGAATATATTCTGCAATCATGTGCTTTTAAAGAAGTACCTACTGGGACAACCATCATTGTATTCGCCGATGAAACAACCGTTATCTGCAACTCAAAGTCACAGCTGGAGCGGGTCAGTAACACTAATTGGGTTTTGGCTAAGTTGTCGTCGGAGATCCGCAAGAATTGCTTGAAACGGGCAGCGGATAAGGCAAAAGCCCTAATACTATATGGAGGTAGGAAATTTAAAAGAGCATCTATGCAGCGAAAAAATTAAGTGAAGGAACCAAAATTGCTGTTAAAATATGTCAGAGTAGTATTCGATCACAACTGTGAAATGAAGGAACATGTAGTGGCATGTGGCATCAAATCTGCAAAGTCTGTAATGGTGCTCAGTAGAATTATGCCAAACCTAGGAGGTCCAAAATCATCCAACTGGAAGAGTTGAGCAAACGTGGCACATTCGATTACCGTGTATGCAGCGCCTATATCGAGTCAAGCCACCAAGTGGAAGAAATACAGGCGGATTGTGAAAGGGATACAATCAGCCCTGTGCTGTATCATAAATGCTATTTTTAACGGCCACACGTTATGGCGACTTAACAGTTCAGGACAACATTTTCGATAACGCAGCAACATAACCGAGGTGTGCTATATCTCCGAGTTAACGTATGCGTTTCCGACCCAGTTATCCATCAAACGTTAAAAAGGAAAAAAATATTGGGTGCATAAAG